ACACACACACACACACACACACACACACACACACACACACACACACACACACACACACACACACACACAAACACACACACACACACACACATGCACACACTTTCTGTTTGTCTGTTTTCCAGTTGTTGTCTATCCTCCCCCTGATATTTTTCTAAGTATTTTTGCCTACCCTATCTGAGCACCCTTAAGTAGTGCCAAACAGTCGGTGGTTCCTCGTTTGGAGTGCGTACTGCGCTCTTATGGGGGCCTCTCAGTTTGGGATGTCTGTGTTGCCTGTAGGTGATGACAGATGCTTGCCAGAGTGACTCCCTGGCTCAGTGGGTGGTGGGAGCCAACAGTCTGTGGGGTTCAATCATGATGTGAGGAGGTCATGTGCTGCTTTGCTCCGTGTTGGATGTGTGGACTGCCTCGTCCGCGCTCCACCGCCGCCTTGCTGCCTGTTCTGCTGGCTTCGCATGTGGCTCTCTGCATATTATTGTGTTCATTGTGTGGTGTGGCCGTGTTGTTGGTGTTGCCTTGCGCTTGGCTACTCCGCTGCCTTGCCGCTCATCCGCTGGCCGTGCCGTTTGTGTTTCCACGTTGCGTGCCATGTCTTTCCTTGTCCTTTATTGTTTGTACTGTTCATCTGTCAACGTCCGGTCCACTATGGGGTTATGTGAGGATTGTCTTCAAGTTGTCTAGTGCATGGGTCTCTCCTTGGGGATCGCCAAGCGAAGTGCACTTGTTGTGTACTGAGGCGTCATTATACATACTTACACACACACACACACACACACACACGCACACACGGCCTGCCCTTGCCAAGGAGATACGTATTTGCGACAAGATGGTGTCACCCATACGTGTCTAGTTCTGTAATTTTATAGAAGTGGCACTCGGCATAACAAGCAATATGCCTCTTCCAGACCCTGGCAATTGTCCTTGTCGACAGGTATTCCCACAATGTGTAGACATTGATAATGGTCATGTAACCACAGTGGAGTACACCATTATACAAGATACACACTTACGGGCTCTCTTCTTTGAAGGCTCCAAGTACCGCCTCAATGCCGATACCACAGATGTGATGAAAGCATTGAAACTCGGCCTGGACGAGTATATTACCAAATTTATAGCAACCATGAGATCAACACACAATAATGAGTCTCTGGTTGCTGACAGTGTCTCTTAGCTGCGCAGATGGCGCACATCCGTTCTTTCAAGATGCCGACAGAATTTTATTGCGTCACCGTACCAAGCACCTACTCAAACTGCCTCGTGTGCAGCCAACACATCTCTTCGGTAGCTACAACAGTAATTTGCTATAGTACTTGTTGATAAAACAACACACAACATGACAATCTGTTGCAAGCGCTGGTACGCATATAACTTATCACATCATCTTGACAGTTTCACCTACAATCAAGCATCAGAGAGTGTGACCAGCATCCTCGAACACCATGCACTTTTCAACCAACGCTGGGGCTATCAACATACTGACACCCTGCCCTATCTCTACTTTGCACTCAAAGCACACAAATCTTCACTTGCCCTTTGTCCGATTCTTGGAGTTACACAACGAAATAACCTTTCGCGATCTGCAAACTGCACAACACCTTCCCGACCTTCGGTCGCGGACTTGCACAATAGACCCTCTCATAAGCCTTTTGCAAGTACAACAATGGCCTCCCACTCACTCAGCTACGCCTTTCAAGGTGTGATCAAGTCCCTGCGCAGTAAGGATAATGAGCTTTATCAAGAAAGTGGTGTGCAACGTTGCTCGATCGTGCAAAGTGCTGAGGAAGTCATTTTGGATCTCAAATAGAATGCACAATCCCTTCGAGGTTGTACACCACATATAGCAGACTTTACAACTATGTACACGAACATACCACACGACAGGATTCTTAACAATGTTCTGAATGTTGTTCGTGAAACACATGATTATGCTTTGGGGCGGATCTCACAAGGCAGAAGGCCAGTACATATGTACATGACCATAGGAGCTCCTCATCGTGGGGAGTGGGTCACTTCACATGGGCCAGACACCCTCTCGGTGTCAAAAATAGAGCAACATTTGTGGTTCATCGTCTCTAATACTTATCTTTATACGAGGGATGGCACTTTGCGCCATTAGGTGGTCGGTATCCCTATGGGCACTAACGCTGGATCAGAAACTGCCAACCTCACGATTTATTGGGACGAAGCACAGGTCATCAATGATCTTCGCCAGCGAGGACGACCTCGCTCTCAACAACCCCTTTTGGCTCTTCAAATAGAGCAGGGTATCTAGCGATAACTCCCTCTCTCTTTGGAGGCATTTTCACCGGTTCGCCCTTTGCAGAGACATACACTAAGTACATACCCTCGTCCGGATTTTGCTTATAATAATTATAGAAAGCGGCCCCACACATGCATCCGTAGGACTCAATCAGACTACTAGCTTTATACTTACATAATCTGGTGGTCCCCCCTCCAGGCAAAGTGTGCTTGAACACTTTTCGGTCTCAGTCAAACTCGGGCTGCGCAACCGAAAGATAGTACATTCCCAGCAAGATATCCATATGGAGATCATCGCTGACTAGGAACGAGACTCGATGTCTCAGTTCCCCTCCCACGTATGGGAAACGACACTCAATGTCTCAGTTCCCCTGTCTTACAGCGGCCTATATCTACCTCACCGATGAATAACTCACCCTTAGGAGTTCTTGCCATGGCCGTCCAAGAAGCTAGTGGGTCCGATCTAGACCACTCCTCCTCTAGCTCCTCTAAGGACTCAAACACATTCATCGAACAAAGGATCGATTGGTCCGAATGTGTTTGCAGGACGACAACGGAGTCAATACCTTGCGCCATCTCTTGAGTTGGCGAGGGTGTGTCCACCACCTCGACCCTAGCAGGAACAACTATAATTCCTACTCGCCCGACGTGTTTCCCAGAGCAGTGCCAGAACTGCTGCCCACATTGCTACCCTGAGAAGTGGAGGAGACCGGCGCCTGCTCCATCGTAGGCGGGATCTTCTTTGTTACCTTCTTGTTTCGGCACTTGGATTGGTTATGGCCATATTGGCCACAACGAATACAAGCCGCTCGGGAGTAGCGATCTCCCCACACGTCCTCGGTAAGCCCCGCTTTTTC